CAAAATACAAATTCTTCTTACCGCCAATAAATTTTATTAAATAATATAATTGCCATTGTTATTAATGACTTCTTGGCAGCGTGAGGGCAATTTGTACATCCCATTTTAAAAAATGCTTATCTTTTGATGCAAAAAAAACTGAACCAGTACTTCGATATCTTCTTCATTTTAAAATTTTTTGCCCTTCAAAAAATTTTATAAGGACGAAAACAAGTGATAGTCGGAGAGTGCTAAGTTCGGAAAATATGGTGGATGTGACAGAATTTCCAAGCCTAGTTCCACCATTTTTGACGAGTCCCCAAATCAACATGTGGCCTGCCATTATCATGATGCAGTATAATGTCCTTCATGTTGAACATCGCCAGCCTCTTTTATTGAACTACTGTCTTTAAATTATCCAGTTATTAACAATACTTCTCCGAATTGAGCTGTTCATTTGGTTTTAAAAGCCCATAATGTACTGGTCCTCGAATGTCCCAACACATACACAACATTTTCTTATTCAAATTTGGTTTAGAGGTGGAAGGGCTAGGTTTTCCGAGTTCACAATATGCCCTTTTCCGTACGATGTTTTCGTAGTTAATTCCCTTTTCATCCCCAGTTATCATCCTGTTCAAAAAGGGCTCGATTTTGTTCTGAGCAAGCAGAGAAGTGAATATGACGACTCGATCATCCAAATTCTTAAGACTTAATTCACGTGGCTCCCATCTTGAATATTTTCACACCAATACTATCTTCCGAATATGGCCCAAAATGGTTTGATGAACTCAATTAAGCCTTTCTGCGATCTCCGATGTTCTGAGAAAAGGATCTTGCTCCAACATAATCTTAATAACATCATCATCGATCAAAGATGGTAGCCCAGAAAGTGGCTATCAGAAAGGTCGAAATCAATTGCTTCAAATTTTTCGAACCACCTTCTGCATAACCTACCAGAAAGTGTATTTTCAACAAGCACTTTCAATAAATTTCTACATGCTTCTGTAGCATTTCTTCCTTGTTGAAATGCATATAAAATACAGTGGTGTAAATGAACTTCATAAGTAACCATGGGTACACTGTCGCTTCAAAGACTAACGTGAATCAACTTTGTTTTAGTTAATTTGCTTCTTCAGTATGTATACATTAAGGGATAAAAATAGAGAGCCGAACATGCACCAAATAAACATGTGCTTACATATCGAAAATTGTTGTCATAGAAACGGACAGAACTTTTCGGTAAACCGAATATATGTAAGGTTTTATTTTGCACACACAGATAGATACAAAATAATACAATACTAGGGAAATAAGAGAAAATCGTTATTAATAGGGGGTTGTACCGCTTTTTGACTAAGGTACACACTGTATGCAACATGAGGTGGATGCACAGAGGTCTTACATATCATGTAAGAGAATAATGAACCTATTCCTCTGGCACCAAATGTCTCCAATTCTGGAAATGTAATTAGAGGCAGAATTCAGAATTTCGCCATTAAGTTCTAATTCTAAATATCTAAAAAATGTTCAATAATTTTCAGGTTGGAAGATTAAAGGGGAGATGAGATGTTCTACTTTAGCATCATGCTCTCTGAACCATGCTTGAACACACTTACCAGTGTGGATAGGAGCACTGCTGCTTTCAAAATGTCCAGGAAGAAAGTGTAAAAGAAAGGATAGACATGATTCACATCAGAATGGTCTAAAAGACATCAGCTTTAATCTTCCCATGCAGAATAACAAATGGGCCAAGACTGTGCTACGGTATTGAACCTCATATCAACAAGAAGCCATCTCCATGCTTAATGGTCTATAAGAGACAGGCAGACATAAATACTTCTCTGGCAATTCTTTTGACATAAATTTCCCCAATGGTCTGAATTAAGAATGTTGATTCATGAGAACAGATAACTACTGGGGTTTAATAAACACAACACAGCATTGGTACTAGATGACTTGTTGCCATTGCTATGGAGCCCAGGCTTGGTGAACTCGGCAGTACTGTTATCACTTGAAAGCATTACATAATGTCTTCAAAAATACAGAGGTCTCTTTTAACAGTTTTGGTAGAAACGATATTTTGGAGAGGCTGTTCATTTTGGGCATCACCTGGAATACTTATTGCCTCGGCTTTTGGGACACTAGGTGTTTCAACATCCATCTATCCTTATCAGTCAGCTTTGTTGTTTACTATTCTTATATTAAGACATTATTCTTTGTATACGCTGTCACAATGCCCGATACCATCCTCATAGCAGATCTAAAACTTTTTGATATTTTCATGAGCAAAGCTCATGGAGTTAAAGATATTCAAATAATTATATCTCTCAGAAAGTTTGTCAGACTTGGTATTTTGATATTTCAGTGCCTTTCAATAGGTACAATTGATACATTCAATCTCTACTGCAGACTTCTACAGCAGGTATGAAATGTAACATTTTTCACAAACCCTTGTACTATTTGGTTCCTCATCTGTAATGAATCATAGTTGTTTACTGATGGTCATACTGAGTCAGACTGATAATCTTTACTGACAGATTGCTTAATAAAATGTTTATTTAATTTAGACACATGCGCTTTTCAAACAATGACCAAAGAATGATGATGTCTAATGAAAAATACAACCTTCTAGTTTATAAATAATGGGAAAATAAATGCTGTATACAGGTTCTAGTTGAATTCAATCCATAAGAATGATGTTCAATAAATAAAGCAGCAGGACATGAAAAGGTAAGAACATACCAGTCAGAATTCTAAGCCATAAAAGAATTTTTAAGCTTTTTCCTCTTTAAAGTACATCTTACAAATGATGACATCTTTGTATAAAAAGATACAGTATGCTTACAAAAAGAAATGAATTCATAAAACTAATTACTAAGAGGATAAATTCTACCTTGCTTGTTTTTAACTATGAATTATCATTTCCCTACCTTTTATAAAATACCAACATTAGCTTAACAAATGAGTTTGGAAGCACTGCTCAGTTATTTAGATTATACTAAATTTTCTCAATTATAATTTTAAGATTCATTTTGTTGGCTGCAAGCTAAAAACAGTAATTTTATCCAAATATTTAATTTATTTGTTTACATTCTGATACACTGTTTGTTCTTATATGTTTTGTTTTACTGTGTATTTTTTAATTGCTTTTATTTATTTGGTGCATTATTTCAATGTAATTTTTTTATTTATTTTACATTTTGAATAGTTATCAATTTATCGGTAATAATTGTATTTTTACGAGTTTATTATTTTTTAACTGCTATTATCTAACCGGTGCATTATTTCAATGTAATTTTTCTCATTTATTTTATATTTTGACTATAATTATCAATTTATCTGTAATAATTTTATTTTATGGGTTTATTATTATTGTTAACGCAAAAATTCAGCTTGAAAGTGTGTTAGCTCATGCAGTTATTCATCATGTCATAGCAATATCTACTGATTTTTTATCGATTTGGTGATATTTTTTTTGGGGGGGGGGGGGGAGGGATTTACATTTAAAAGACTTGATGATTGATTTTTTATATTCTCCTAACAGTTTTCACATCTTTGGCAACAACATAAATACTGACTTTGAGAAAGCTCAGAGCAGTTTAAAATCAGTCTAGCCTGAAAGTAGCTTGAATTTAAACAAACAGTGATTTTCAGCCTTTGCTTAGTAAACAAGTTTGCATTTTTTTAACTCAGAAATTTCAGTCTTTCAAAAACAATAATTTTGTACTCTTAGCATAGTCTGTCCAATTATCAATTCTGCATCAAAGAGAATTATGGAAATAGCTTTTCCGTCTCTTAATAGTTTTCTGTTTTTTCCCCTTCATTTATAAAACTGCTACCACTTAGGCTGCAATAATTGTGTTTTCTTTCTCATTTAGTTTTTTTATTTAAAAAATCTACATGAACTCAATCCAGGGATTTGTACATTAGCACACAACTATACAAACATTACAGTCAAGAAAATACGTCTATCACATTCAATATTGAATCAAGTATGCTATTCAAAAGACTTCAACATTATTCCTTGAAGTCTGCATTTTAAAAATAAAAGCAGCTGCAAAACAAGTGCACAGAAAACCAAAATTTTTATAGAGATGCAGAATAGGAGCCTGTTATAGGAACTAAAGCAAATAATCTCTGTACATAAAAATTTAATAAATATGTTAACTAAAATTATATAAGAAAAAAGATTTTGCTTTTCTTACTAAAAAAATCACATAATTTAAAGCAATTATTTGACATATTACAAACAGGTTAATTGTTTAGCCACATCAGCTCTCAATATTAATACTATTTATATGATAAGAATTCAAATTTCTTTATCGAAAAATAATTGATACTGTATCAAGCAGACCAGTCAGATCTTGAGCTACTTCCTCATGAATAGCTACTCAATCATCAAGATTCATAAACTTATCTCACACTCCATGACAAGTAAATTTCAAATGTCACTTAATGCAGTGTGGCCATGTTAACAAAGCAGCATTGACTCTGAAAAAGAAACCTATACTAATTAGAAAAAAGAAAAAGAAATATATATTGGTCAGAAATTGGTTGGGGGAAAAAAAAATATTCCTCAAATCTATAAGCCTCTGGATGAGAAAATTATTCACAAGCTACTAATCAATACACAATTAATATACTGGAGACCTGGATTAAAAAATCTTATTGCTTGTTTACACACATCAGCAACCGTTAATGAGAATTTGATATGCTAGCATCCTTTTGTATCACTAATATTTCCAGCCACACAGTCAATTTCAGCAAACTTTTAGCAATCACAGATGGCTTCTGTGTTGTTAGCTGATTACATTTACATTCTGCTACTTATGGACATTTCAAGGACTTTCAACATCCCAGCTATGAAAATCATACAATGGTATTTTCCATTATTTATTTTTTAAGCTATCTGGATATAATTTTCATTTTATTGTGAATATTCATATATAATGAATTTCAGCACTAATAAGAATAGCTCCTACTATTATTTCTTCTCAATAAAAAAAAAAAAAAAAAATTACCTGTCCGAAGGCCAGAATCGCATGACGGGAAGTTGCTCAGGAACTGTATCACAAGCATCAAAATAAGCAAATAAAACACAAGCAGTGTAAGCAGCAATAGCAATTAGAATGTGCCAAGCCCCATGCAGGTATGGAAAATTCAACTTTGACCATATCTCACAGAATAAACGATCATTAATCCAACATATTACAGCTGCAATCCAAACCCATGCACATCTGTAACCCAGCTTCACAACTCTCAAATTTCTGCATCTGCAAAAAATTAAAGCACTATTTTTGAACAGAAGAAGGGGAGGAAAAAGCATTAAATCAAAATCTGGTAGATTAAAATGTTTCTATTGATGGTACACATATCATTACAGTTAAAATTCAGCATTAATGTAACAAATAGATTAAATATAATAACAAATGATAGTACAAATTTTGATGAAAAATTACATTAAAAAATATTGGTACTTGGATATTAGCAAACATCTACCAATACAATAATAATTCTAGCTTCACCTCTACTATGAGACAACCCAAGAATCTGTTCCAAAGTCTTCTAGAAAAATGCTACTTTTTATTCCAAAAAGGGATAAAGAGAAAGTGAAAAATTATTTCTCCCTTTACCACTTTGTAACTACAGTTGGAGATGACACTTTTTTTTTTTTTTTTAGTCCAAAGGGATTTGAATCCCGAAGGACTATTAGTTTCGTTTTGGCATTTTGCGTCGGACTCATAAATGTCGGTTCACTTTTCAAACTGTTGCCACAAAATGTTAGAGTCCTGCATTATATTTGAAGAAATTAAATAATGAAAAATCTGCATAAATGTATGTATATTTCTCGTATTGTGATAAAACAACGGTACATAGAGTCATCGAATTTTGAATAACGTAATCCTCCAACGAATATGAGCATGTGGAAGACCAAATTTGAAATTTGAAATTTGTTTTATGATCGATTTCCTACTTTTTAAAACTTTGACGAATTTTTGATTAACAAACTCAAGGATTTCAAAGCGAGCAATGGCAACGTTGTGCAGAAAAAACATTTTTATCTCCAGTGCGCGAGTCTCTGTATCGGAAATTCTAAAGATATGCTCGTTTTAAAACTATTTTGCGATATTACTGTTGCACTGGATCTTATGGTTTAAGTGCGAGGAACATGATATTTAATAAATAAAGGTAACACACAAAATGTTAAAAAACGCCCCTTTGGACGTTAATTTAAAATCTGAAACATTTCAGTTTTTTTTTTGTTTTTCTTTCTTCTTAATTTTGAAGTCAATTTCAGACTAATATATCTCTATTGCATCATTTTTCGATAACCATTTCCTTGTCAGAAGACCTCAGTATGAAGTTTGCTTGCTTCACATTAATTCTCACTGCATTTTGCATCATGTATTTTAGATTTACCAAGAAATAAGCAATTCATTAATCCAAACATGTGATATTTTGCCAAAAATCACAAGTTTAACAACTCACATGAAATGAAACTACATACAAGGAAGATGTATGATGAAAGCGTAATATTAACCACTGCTGACTAATTGTTGCAATAAGAAATAACCGCTAACTAAAGGAAAATCACTTCTCTCCTTATTTAGAATTCCTATGAAGGCAGAGACGAACTGCCAAGACCAACTGTTTGTAATGGAGCTTCTAATGGACCCTACCACCAAATGCTAATTTTCACAGTTATTCATTTTCTGAAAACAAAATGTGTTAAACCGAATGAAATTCATTATCAATTTACAGATAGCACAGATATAAAAAATGTCTATAAATGGTGTAGAGAGTTTAAAGATGGTTGTACTGAAATTCACAAAGGAAAAAAATGTGGCAAACTGTCAATTTCCTACGAGACAGTCATGACTGAGCAAACAATTCATGAAAATTGGCAAATCACTCTGGATGATCTCGACATTTTGGTTCCTGGGGTTTCCGAAGCACCATTCATCGAATTTTGACGGAAAAGTTGCAATATCAGAAGTGCACAAGATGAGTTTCACAAATGCTCACAAAAGACCAATAGCCTTAAAATGACTCTTCCCATGAATTTCTTCACTGCCATGCAGATTAACCCCCTGAGTGTTACAGGTTTAGCCCTGAAATTTCCAAGTTTCTCAAAATGTCATGAATAAATGGTATTTTCTTGATTTAAATTAAAAATGACTCTCTCATTTTGTACCTTGATTCCTTTTCTTCTAATACCCATCTAAATCAAAATCAGATACATTAAAAGCTAGCAGAAATTTTCATGTATAATGAATATAAAAGGCAGCCTTCTATACAGAATTTTCCATCCGTAACCCTGAGAGAAGCCGCCCAGTCAGTATAACGGTCAGGGAAGCTGACTGCAATGCTGAAGGGCCTGGGTTCGAATCCCGGAGAAGGCATGGTTGTAACAGTCCATCCCTTCATAGGAAAGGCGATGATGGCCCACCTATTAGGTGCCTCCATAATAAAGAGACCACCACATCCGGCCTTGTATAGATTAATGGACTGGGTTACATTTGTAATTGTTCACAATCTGCCATTGGGGGGGAGGGAAACCCTGGAGGGTTAAAAGGACAACTTTTTGGACTCAATTTTCATGGGTGACAAAACCTGAGCATTCCACTTTACAGGTGAAGCCAACTACCTCATGAGTGGTAACATTCCTCCTAATTCAAGACATAAAAACTCAAACAATCACAGTCTGCCAGTAAAGTCACGACAGCTGTGTTTTGGAATTGAAAGCAAGTATTGTTGGTCAACTTTATGGCTTCTGGAACCACAAAAAATGTTGACAGGTATTGTGAGATACTGAAAAAATTCAAAGAGACAATTTAGAACAAGAGATAATGAATGCTAAGCAGGGGCAAAGGCATTCTATACAAGAACGTTCCCCCCATCAAACCACCATTCTTCTGTAACAGTTTAGGTAGCACGTCATCACCCACCCAGCATATAGTCCAAATTTGGCCCCCAGTGACTACCACATGTTTCCTAAGCTGAAAGAACATTTGGGTGGAATGCACATAAGCACCGACAAGGAGAAAGATGAGATTCAACATTTCCTCAATGATGTGATGTTATGCTGGGATGACACGGGCATACAAAAGCTACAAAAATGCATTGATCAAAATGCCAATTATGTAAAAAAATAGATAAATTTTTAGCTTTAAAATTATGTAAACATTTCTGAAAGTAAATGTTTCTTTGCATTTCTAAGAAGACAGGAGACCTTACTTTTGGAATGATCCTCATATATTAATTATGTTAAAATTGAACAATTAGTTGAGGAAATATGCTGACAACTAATGTTCAACTATGTAATTATTTATGTCAATTATCTGAAACTGAATGCAGAATCGAATTGTGCCTAGGTTAAGGCATGAAATATGAAAACTAGGTGACTGGCAAAATGTTGTGCAAGACCAATGTAAGCATTTGAATGTGCAAGATTATTTTATTATTTTTATTTTATTTGAATGCGCAATATTATACTTTTGGATGTGCAATATAATTATTATTTATTAAATTTAATACAGTTTCTAAACATGATCAGTATTGTTTAATTATGACTCAAAAGTGTAATTTAAGTGAATTGCAAAAATGGGTGTTGCAAAAAAGGCAATTGCAAATGGAAGTCACTCAAAATCTATATACCTCTAAGTATCGTATCAAGAGCTTGGAGACACTTTTGCATAAAGAGACTGGTCAAAGGTAACCATGGACAAAAACAGCATCTGAATACCATTTTCTGTCATTGTCAGCTTGAAGGAATTAAGTGAGCACAGAGTTGTTTTACGCCTTCAGAATTTTACAGGCACTCAAATCAGTCATTTTATTGCTGCACAAAAGCTGTTTAATGACGCTGAACTGTGCGCAAGAAAAATTGTTTGTGTCCCACTTTTATCTTTTATAGAGACCAATTTATGATGGTATCATCTTCATATTCAATTGAGCCAAGAGAAATGGAACTGCGTATTTTTTATTGACAAGATCAGATACAGCCTTAAACGCAACACTAAATGTGTTTTGATCTGTAGGGAATGAGAAACATAACTTGCCTACTCTTACAATGAAAGAGGCTGTTTCTGCAAATATAATTTCATGTTTTGAATGGAATTATCAAAATTTGCTGAAAGAAGCTTAATATCTTTGATGAGCTTCTCTAATCAGTCATAAAATATGTAGATGACATCTTGAAACCACATTTAACCCTTTGCGCTCGAGACGCTTTTCTGTCGGGTGAACCAGGAACTCGAGAGTAATCAGCCACTCTCGCTTATATCATGAGTTCCTTATTGTTAACTTAAAATAATTTTAGACACAATAAAACACTTTAAACTCATATATTTTAACATTATACATATTTTTTTAACTTAATGAAACATACGTATTAAACATTACGTTCTAAAATTTTGCTTCATATGATATTTTACAAAACAATATCCAATATGCATCCTTGGCTTGTCGGGGCATGTGTCACAGTAGTATACAGTTTGTCGCCTTTGGAGACGTTCTTTGGGAGCAAACCTTGCAATCGTTTTTTTTTTTGCCCCATCAAAATAATATGCAGCTTCCCATTTAGTCGGATCGCTTCAGAAATGCTCTGTGAAGTAGAAGCTGTGCTGGGTTGTTTTTGTCGAAAGTCTCCTCTCAGTTGATCTACTAAAGTTTTCAAATATTGCAGGTGACTAAGTGGCCATTCGTTTCTCTGCTTCTTTACTGATTTATAAAGAATGTATGAATTGATGGAGCAGATCTCCAAACCCCCCAAAAATAGTTTTTGCCACCATTCTATGGATTTTCTTAAAAAAACAATATGTCGAAGCCAGTTGGTCAGCTCGATCAACACCGCTCATAAATTTGATGTAATTTACAATAACATTGGGCTTTTTTATAGCGACTTCAATACCGCTTCGTAGAGTTCTTTTTACAGGAGTTATTCCCGCATTATTCCAAGTAGTCAAAGCCGTCACAATCCTCTTGTCCTTCCACGCCAAGAACCAAAATATTACCTTTACGATATGCACATGTGGTTCGATTCTCAAATTTTGGCTTTTCGTATTTCACATGGCAGGTGCTTTCTATTTGTCATGATCGTCCCAGTTAAGTGGCACTTTTGTTTGCGTAATTCTTCCTGCCAATATGCAACTCGTATAATAAACGGTCCGTGAACATGTGGTGTCCCTGAACACCGGGAATTTTATCCTGTATCATTTTGTATAGATGTAGCGGTATTCTGGTTTGATACCGGTAGATTGGGTCTTATCAA